CTCTAGAAATTTTGTACTCGTGTTGTTTTTTAGTATTCGCTGTTTATGAACCATATTTAAATATGTAATACCTATGTATGTTGTATATATCAACATCTTTATCAATTATAATTTTATGAAAGAAAATTTAGTATGTCTACGTAATACAAGTACACTTGGAATAAATATGAAGGGACATCAATATAAAGAGAACATAATGATAAAATGTTGATAACTGTCATTTGTATCTATCTATATATAGATATATATAAATCATTTTAAGCATTAGAAAAATTCAAATAAATGTTTTGTCGTATTAATATAAAATGGAATGCCAGAAAAAAATTATAAAACAATATTTTATTAGCTGTGTACCTAATAGGTATAAAATGTATTAACTATTCATAAATAAATGATGAGTAAATTTTTTAATAAATAATTCATACTTTAACACGTGACTTTAAATCGTTATATAATTAATTTAGAAAAGTTACCAACCATTTATCCGTTTTATTTGAGATTAATATTTTGTTATAGTGTGTTTTAAAATATTTATGCTAAACACAATTGAATGATACTTGATGATCAAAAAAAGAAAAGTTAGTAAGTAATCATAATAATAACAATTTCACGATTCTTGATGTTTTTCTTCGAGGTCAAACTGCTATAATTCTGCAGTGTATTACTACATTCTTTGAATTAAATTTCATATTTTTTGGTATACACCATTAATACAATACTTGTGTTTTACACGGAAAACTTCGATCGACGTTCACCCGTCGACGGACGATCCATCCACCCACCCACATTATACATCACTGGGTGTAGTTGCACACATAATATACGTATGCATTTAAAATGTTGTACATTAACACGGCACACATACTATTGCAGAAGTCGTTGGCGGCGCGTAAGTTCTCTCGAGTACGCCATAACCTCGTTTGCATATTTATAACATTCCCCGCGTTGTATTATAACTTATAAGTGTAATCACGGTGTCCCGTGACGACAACGCGTATACGTCGTCGGCGAAGTCAAACCAGATCTGCCACCACCGCCGCCGCCGTCACCGTTCGAGTTGTTCCGGTCGCTACTCCGGTCACTTATAGATTTGTCTATTGGTCGCACAAACCATAATGATATCATCATAGCCGCTACAATATGCGTAGGTACTAGTGATGGGAGCAATCGAGAGAAAATAATCGAGTACTCGATTATTAGAAAATAATCGATTACTCGATTATTAGAAAAATTATCGAATTGCTCGGTCAAAAATAATCGAATGAAAAATTAGTAGTTAGTAGTTACTTATTAGTAATTACTATTTTTATAATAACTAGTTTATAGTTACTTTATAGTAGTTGGTATAGCTATTCGAATTTCGAACACTGAACCAGTAGGCAGTAATCATTCTTATCTACTAATCTACTATTCACTAATATTATAATATAATAATAACTAATACATATTTAAAAATACCCAGGCGGCCGCGGCCCGCGGCGTAGTATAACTATACTTTATTATTAATCTGTACTATCTGGAATTGTTAAGGAAATGGTTTCTATTATTATTTATATCTATTATAAATAATAATTTTGATCACATATATATATTATTTTGGTATAATATACTATATTTCAATTTAATTTATATGTTGTATCAGTTGTATCGTACATTTGTTATCGGACTAGCGACTATCACTATATAATAGTGACCATTCTCTCGATTAAAATAATCGAGTGAATTACTCGATTATTATAATATCTCGATTACTAATCTCTCGATTATCGAAATCATTCGATTATTCCCATCACTAGTAGGTACATATCGTACAAAACACCGTGTACCCTAACCTCGGTAAAGGTATATACTATATAATATTATTGTGATCGAGGCAAATTAGCCGAGTATTTATGTCGGTGGGCGTGTGCGCGTATACGTCTGCATTATACTCGCGTACGTATAAACGCATAGTAGGCGCGTCGTTTTATATATATATATATATTATTATATTATATATTTATATGACATTATCGTATATTATTATAATGCATTTCGACCAACCGACCGGAATTCTCACGTTATAATAATAAGAAATATAATGCGCGCGCGCGAGCGTGTGTGTGTGCTCACACCTTATTATATAAATGTGATTTTTTTCCTATTCTTTTTTTATACACACACACACACATAGGTGTATATTATGTATAACGAGAACTCACCTCACGCCGGTGACTCTCATTGTCGCGGTAGTTTTTGATGTCGCGATTGAATTGTCATCGGGTCGGTGTGCGCGGTGTGTGTAATGACAATAAAAAGGGCCGCCGAATGCCGGTCCGTGACTTTACACGTTTGTCGCCATTATATTATTACATCGAACATCTTATACGGACATTTGTACATATATAATAACACACGACGGCAGTGGCGGCGGCGGCTGCGGTGGCGGCGGCGGCACCGACAACGATGACGGCCGCACTATGGTGTTTTATTATTTTGTCCGTTCTTTATGTTATTACATTATATTATATTATATATTATTTGATAATATTTTTTCGGGGTTTCTAAAAAGATGCCGACAACACGCAGCACAATACCCGAATGTATATTGATATGTCGTCGCCCGCGCAAAATTAAGATCTCCGCCCCGGATATCTCTCGGTCAGAAAATTTAACCACCCGGTGTGGGGGCACCCTTCAAGGTTTATATCTCTGGGTACACACACACATACACACGATATGTATACACGCCACCCGAATGCGGAGAATTAGATAGACGATAAAGACGGATAATATCGTCGTATACTATGATATACACGCGCATATCTGTAGGGGCGGAGAGTGAGACAGAGCACGCACATTATCCCCGTGACTCGGCTGGCCGTTTACGACAATTAATCTTTTGTGAATTCGCTCCACCTACTCGTAACTCGCATCTTTTAAGGAGCGCACCGTGCGAAACAAATCGCATCGGTACCACCATCGCCGACTGTGCCACTGCCGCCGATGCCGCCGACGACGATCGGTATCTCTGTGATCGGGTTTTGAAGGCGACGAAAATCACCAGAAACCGACTCGGATGTAATGCGTTATGCGCATATCGTACACAAAGCACCGAGCCGCCGACTCCCGACACGTGTTACATTATATCGATCGGATGGAACGGAAACATCCGATTTTCGTCCTATATCCAATTACAATCGAACCGACTCCGGTCATTATACATTTGCACAAAAATAATGATACGTTGACGCCTGCTAAATTTCATACTAAAACGGCGTGAGCACAGAGAACGATTTGCACATTGGTCAGTTGATTTTTAAGGAGAATTTTTATTTTTTATTTGCCTTAATCACACAATAATAACGTTTCACAACGGCACGGCCTATTATAATTATAACTAATTATTCAAGCGCAAAATACTATAGTGAATATAACAATATATAGGTCTATAAAGTATAATAAGTGATGTATTTTAAGTTAAAATTAAGTTATATATAATATAATACTAAAACTAGAGGCAAACGAAAACAAATTCAAATGGTAAAAAATGGATAGAGATGAAAACAAACAAAGAGGTGCATATAGAACTGTTATGAAAAAACACAAGCATTCGCGTGTGGGTTTAAAGCTAAGCGTTTGAAAATACTCGTAAATATTTGAAAATGCCTTGAGACACCTTGTAGATGATGTACTGCATAATATAACTATTGAAGATATGATAAATTGATTGATGTAAAGAGAACCGGAAGGTTTGCGAAAAGATGAAGTAGAACAAATTAAAAATTATACAAATAGTTAAATTTTTATGGACCTAAAAAAAATAGCAAGCAAACGACTAGAATAGAGAATTAAAGTTCTAAACAAACTTATAATATGGATGGAAAAAAATGACAATTGTATCATAACTATATTATAAATGAAAATGTTTGTATCATATTACAATTTTGTATAGATAAGAATTTATTTTTATGAAGTAGGCACGTGCTCATCAATTAGTTTTACTTTATTTCTTCAATTCAATCTGTCTAATTGACATTAATTATAATACTAAGACGATCCAAGGCTCTCGTTCGAATCCGTCGAAATCTCACGATGCTTTAAATAGCTGTTTCCATCAATCCGTTTATTTACACAAAATCTGATAATATCCTTTAACGTTTCATCACTCCACAAATCGAGAAAAGTCTGCAATATGTGTTCTGGACAATTGTATTCATTAAGGATCATTGTAAAATATTTTAACGTGTACACATATACGTTTTCAAATAATTCCAGCCAGGATGTTTCACTTAAGCAGCATAGACAGTGTTTGACGTGGTTATCCAATAATGACAATCGATCTCGAAATCTACCACTAAATATTTTAATAAAATTTACAAAATTGAATTAGCTGATAACAACCACATAAAAAATATTAGTTTAATATGAATAATATACATAGTTTACTTAATTATTGCAAATTTTATAATATTATATATGTATAATGTATATACTATATAATATTGTAAACTCTCTAAATGTTAAAAACATTTTTATACTAATTTTATTTTTATTTTTATTGCACAATCTATATTCATAAATATATGGAACAATAAATGAATGTGATGATAGGTATGAAAAAAAACACGATTTATAGAATGATAATAAATATGTAAAATTAAATAGAATTTTATGTGTAACATTTTTTTTATTTTACTGTAGATATTATATTATTTATAATATATTGTTTATACTGCTAAGACCAATTATGACCAAAACTATTTACATATGTAATCCATAGAAAATATATTTAACTTTACTGTAAATATGTTTAAATGGAAAGAAACATAAAATTCGAAAATTTTTTAAAAATAATTAATATATAAAGAACTTTTTGAATGTTTTTTATTGATTTAAATCGTTGTAAACAATATAAAAAAAGTAAATAAATCTGAAGTATACATCGTTTTAAAATCAAGAACTTATTGTAACTTTGGGTTATAAATTTTATTTTGTTTTTATATATTTAATAGAGGTAAAATTAAAATATACCTCAGTAAATCGAAAAGTTCCATTGAAACCCATCGATAAAATATTCGTAACGTTATAATATAGCTGGGAGTTATTTTTTTTCCATTAACGTCGTAAATTTGACTAGTAATAGTTTGGACATCCGAGAAAGGGTTTCCAGTAAACTTATTGACGACCTCGGGATGCTCATTCATTAAATCAAATATCCAATTAAACATGGCTATGATATCTGCATTTTCGGTCAAAGATTCAAAAAATGTTTCATCTTCATCAGAAGCGTAATCTACCAAAAACAACCTTGTATTCCGTAATACGGAATTATAAACATGTTGAAAAGTTGGTGGTTCGTAAATGTCTTCAATTTTGCGAAATATAAACAAAATGTTGTAATCAGTTATGATATCGTATCCTCTGAAAATAAATAATAAAACCACTCAATTATAGCGTCAAAAAATAAAATCCATATGATTTAAAATTGGTTACAGTAAAAAACAAAAAACGGCAAACGCGACCATAGAAACATCAAACGAATGCAGTTCTTTTTTAGTAGTTGCAATTTTGTAAGATTTCATCAGACCATTTGGCACATTAGTTTCATCGATAAATTTTAGACGCCATTCCCGGACCGTTCTTAGTGCATCCGTAGTGGTTGGTCCCCAATCCTGGTATGGTTCGTCTCCAAAAACATATCTTTAATTTATAACGTATTAATTATTAGTATGAAAAATACAATTTAACATACTTATATATACGTCTTTATATAATTTGGTATTTACTATATATTATATTATCATGACCTCAAAAAGACTTATTTCTATACTGGTTAGCATATCATATTATGTTATCAACATAATACAAATATTGTAGTAACCAATAATTGGCCTTTATAATATACTTATTTTTATTTAGTATTTTTTAAACAATTTAATTTGATAATTAAAGTCAACAATATAGTATACAAACAGTCATATAATTATCATAACCAATACAAAAATTCGAAAAAAGTAAATTATAATCAATGAATAATGAATGATTAATATCGTTTTATAGCGGTATCCATACAATTGTAATAATTGTCTTCAATAACGCGAATAATACATTTAGTCATACAGTTTTGTATTATTACGATATTACATCAGATTCTAGACGAATGGAGTGTATATAGGCTTGATAGGCGTAGACGCTCATAGTTTCAAATGTATTGGGTTGGGGGGGGGATAAAAATATCTCAAATGTTAGGTAAATAAAGGTTTGATGTAATTTAAAACATAATTTAAATGTAAATGATAATTCATATATATATATATATATATATATAACTTATAATTAAACGAATTTTAACGAGTGCAGTAAAAATATGTATACATTACGAGTATATTATTTTATAGATGTTCGTGAAAATAATGACCGTTCGGTAAAACGATGATTCGGAAACATACGAATTCGGAAACGCGACTAACGGCTAGATATAACATATATATAGGCGTAAAGGAACGCGTGTTTTTTTTTTTCTCTGCTTAAATCCAACGTTCACCGACGGTCACACAATAATTATTAGCATTATTACCCAATACCTGTTGACCCGATGCAGCTCATAATAGCGCACGAAACCCTTCAGCTCGTTGTACAACTGAAGTCTTGGTGGCGTCCGATAACGTCGGTCGGCTTTTTCCAGATCTGGCGACATCACGTCGTATAGCCTGTCAAACGCGTCGGTCATCATCACGTCGAGGTACGTCTCTCCCGTGCTGCCGATCGACGACATCGTATCGTCGCTGCTGTCGTCGTCCGTTGAAGTCACTTCACCGCGTACGAACCGCCTGAACAGGTCGAACACCAATTGCCCGCACGTCTTGAGCACCACCGTCTCTAAGAGTTCCGTCTGGTTCTCGTCGTTTCCCGAATCGCATTCCGTCATCTCCGCGCACTCCATATTCTCCTGTTTGCCGTTTTCGATTGGTTATATTTTTTTGACTTTGGGCACAGCCGAACGTCCGATACGACGATTCATTGCATTGTTTTGCTAGGCTATTTATTATTATACGGCACTCGATCGTTATTGACAACGAAGACTTTTTTTTTATTTAGCCCACAGGTTTTTTTTTTTAATTACTCGCCTGTCGTCACTGGGTAACGCACGGTGCACACCACGCGATTGAACAACACGGTGTTATAGACTCGTCAATACCGATCGTTTTCGGATATTCCTATTCCTTGCCGTAGAAAGCGATTTCCGGGGCAGTGTCCGTTGGTACTAATTGGATGATTTAATATTTATCGGCTGGGCTTTGTTCCGTTTTACGGTGGACCCGGTGTGAGACCGAGGGGGATGAGAGACTGGAGTTATGTGATAGGGTTGTAATAGTTATGTTACATATAATATTATATAAATTCTATTTTACAGACACGATACAATAACTGATATAATAAATAGCACAGCATTTCTTAAACTTTTTATTCGCGGAACCCTTTTTGATGTCCAATTTTATCGCGAGACCTCTTTTATTTTTTTAGCTTTATAATTCTTTTTAGGGTTATTTGCAATAACAATTATAATTATTTCATATAATAATTATACTATGGAGTATAGAGTCTATACTATACACTATACCACACTCATCATTATTTAATATACAAACATTTTTTCGCCCCTCTAGCCACTTATCTTTAGTTAGATATTTTAAAGTAATTTTCTTGAAAATGTTGAAAAAAATTATTTAAGCTTTACGGAACCCTGAAGTGATTTCCGTGGAACCCCGAGGTTCTGCGAAACACAGTTTAAGAAACGCTGTAATATCATAGGTCATGATTACTAAGAAATAAGAATATCTATTCCATTCGATTTCCGTGTATGTTTGGTCCTCATAGTTTGATTGTACTTTTAACACTAAATAAAATAGTTAATGTTTTCACTGGTAGACTGAAATAATGCTTCAGTCCTCGAGCCAAGCTTTGGTCACGTTTACCTGGATTTTGATTATATCTTCTACGCGTATTGTTTCTCTATTTTGAAGCTAAAAAAACTTATAAAACAGGTTGATTTTAAGTACTACATAATATATATTTATACATATACATTTATTTCTCATATATAATTCAAGAAAAGTCTCTTATATAGATACAGAGTTTTAGTGAATTATTTTTATGAATTTTAGACGTACATGTACAGGTTTACCAAAATGTTTTTCTAGATGATGAGAGATATTAATTGTTCTATCTACATATAATTAAACATAATAGAATATTACAGTATACTAATTACGGGATTCGAGATGTTCTAGAATCCAGGATGGTAAGTATCCAATCTATCTTCTCTAAGAATACAATATATGTTGCTTATTAAAATCTAAATTAATTAAATATTTGAAATATTGTAATTTGTAAGTACTACTTTATGTTAATAAAATATAGAAAATAATTTTGAAAAATTAAAAAAATATGTATATAATCGTCTTTCAGCCTTTCTCCCCCTGCCACTATAATACTCATCCTGTCAATTATATTTTTAAATACAATCGTTGTTAAATAAGTAATAATATAGAGATCTTAGTTGTTTTAAATATGAAGAAATGTATGGATTTCATAAAGTAAAATAAAAGCATATGAATATAATTTAGAGATACAAAAAAAAAATTACTTATGTAAATGATTGTTTAAATTAAGTATCCAACTGAAAAATTATGTTATTTACAAATTTACAATTTTTTAATTAAAAATCAATAAATTTTAAAAACTAATTATACTTTATTATAATATTAATATTTACACGGATAAATAATTTAATCCAGAAGTTATTTTATTTCTTTATAAAAATAAAAAATAATCTGTATTTAGATTCTGATGAGCAGTACAAAATTAATGTTGATTTTATTTATAAGATTTCTACATTTCTTACATTAAACATTTAATACATGAGTATAATGTAAGTAAATTATTATCAAAAGCGGCTACTTCATACACCAGTAGTACGTCATCTATTTTGTTCCGTGACTCATGACATAGATATTTCGTGGAAATTCAAAATTTATCATGTGTAAATTTTTGTTCAATAAAAACTTGATTAATTCATCATTTATTTATAAACTAAAATTTGGATTTATTTCACAATAGCATTAAAAATATAATTCTGATTCAAAAAAAATCAAACAAAACAAATTGTCTATTTGATAACTTTGTATTAAATTGTTGACAACCTCTTACTAAAATGCCATTACCCTTAGGTTGCACTCCATTACTATACATAAGTTATGTATTAGTTGTCATACTCAATAGTTGTTTTTAAATATTACTTTATTTGTATTTATAATTTTTTTTTTTTTTTATCATAGCATTTTATATAATACAATATAATGTATCGTATTATTGTGTACAATTTTATTGATGAGATTTTTTCTTGATAACAATTATAAATATATTATTATTTAACTTATAATAATAATGATATGATTCTAGATTGTCGTTTTTTCATTTGTGCAAAAGTGAAAAACCCGTAACGAGTGCTTCTTATTCAGTAACTGTAAATAGTTATCTATATTTTTATGTTTATAGATGACCCATATAATTAAGTTAATTATGTACAACATGCAATATTGCTAAACACAATAAATAATGAGATTTTGAATATTTTTAAAATAATGTTATTACTGATTTTATACATTTTTTAGTACAATAAGTAAACTAGTTAACTTCCGAATCCTAATAATAACATAATTATCTGCATGCATATGTGATTAAAAAATGAAATTAATATCTATATGTAATTCACATTATTTTTGTTTTTAACGAATTAAATCTACCAAATTTCATCTATAAAACAAAAAAAAGCTATTCTATTTTATCCTTATATTATTATTTAAAGTACCTACCTATATAGCAAGTATATTATAATCAATAATTTTTTTTTTTTTAAATTTTCATTAGTATTCAATTTGACAAGATTCATATATTTATCCAACTTTAATATGATTACAAATTATTATCAATTTTAAATGCACTTACCTTACACTTTAAGCGTCCCCTCGTTAAATTTTAAACGGGTCTGTAATTGATTATGAACAACCATTATGATAGAAATAAATTGGTTCAATAATCTAGGAATTGTACATTGCATTTTTTACCATTGATAAAAGCTGTTAATATTTTCTATAAAACCGTAACAAATATACAAAATTATATAATTATGCAATAAAAAACATAGAAATTAACAATATAAAAAGTAACGATAGCCTAAGGTTAAGTTCAGTTGATTTATACTTTCTATAGACAAAATATTAAAGTTGTAATTATAAAACGTTACTTAATATACTTCCTAATATTACCTACCTTATATTTTTAAATTGTTCATTAAAGATTGGACGCATCGAAAAAATGAATGTTTATTTTAAAAAATCATAAATAATAAATGAACTAGTCTTATTATCCAGATTTTCAAGCTTGCAGAATTGATTTCCCACTCCTCGGTGGTTGGAGGCCATACTCATAATGTGTAATTTAGTTATTAAAATATGATGAAGGTTAGATAACTGTCAACTGATAAACTGCTCATCCATGTTCAATACACTCGAACTTTTTTTATATTTTATACTGTAAATGATTTATATGCATTGTACGGAAGACAATAACATAATATTATTAATATATATATATATACATATCATATAGACACTATAAAGGAGATAAATATAATAGTTACACATATATATATATACATATTAGTATATTAAAATAAAATTTAAAAAATACTAGAGAAATCATTTTTTTTTTTTTCATGCAATCAAAGTTAAAAACTAAATAAAATAAAATGAAGCAGTAAATATATATTAAACGTTGCTTTTTTTATGTTCCATATATAAATAATACAAATTCTTAGTTTACTATGCTATATTTCTATATTAGATGATTTATAAAAATATATTATAAATACTAGCGAAATTCATACATAATAAAAATATATTATGTATTTATTTTTTATTTTTTGATAAGTTGCAACATGTACAGCTCAATTTAATTATTTACATTGATTTTTTAATTGTGTAACAAAATTATATTTATAAATATAAATATAATATATAATATAATATATTATAATATATTTTATTATATATATATAAATGCATTTTTGTTAGCTAATAACCCTAATATATTATAGTACACTAAGTTGTTACTATACTGTAATAAAAATAAAAAACAAATAAATAAATAAATAAAATAAAAATTGATAAGTTTTATCTACTGTTTAGTAAGTTTTAATTGTTAATAATGAATAAATCCGTTTGTTTTTAAACTAATGAATTAGTTTTTAATTATTTTGTAAATTTAATTATCAAGGAAAAATTATATAACTATAAATTATAATTAAATTATTTGTAGAATTGAATATATGTCACTGAAATGGATGGTTAGATTTGAATTCTTTGATAAATAGTTAATAATAAATACGAAAAACAATTCTGAGTAAAGGGTAATGAACCAGTTTTTAAAATAAAATTGGTCAAAAACTAGTATTACGTAATAAATTCCATTTTTTGACAATTTTTATTTGATTTTTACCTATTATTTTGAAATATATCTACTAAGACTTTTCTATTTTTATATCTTTAGAGAAACTAGATCGTTTATTTCCTATAATAAATTATGCTCAAAGTTAGATTGAAGAAGGTTTTTGCTCCAAAACTTGATGACGAAAAAAATGCATCATCGTAACACTAATACCCTAATTATTATTCCGTCCATAAACCAAAATGTTATAGGTACTTTTTATTTATAATTTTATCAAAAAAATAATCAAAACCTCATTGAACAGTTTTAAGGCAAAATGGGTTGGCTCATTATGGAAAATTATATAGATGTATTGTATTTAAAGTGAGAAATTCTAAAGCCCAGTCATTTCAATGAATTTATCAAACTGATCAATTATTATAATGATATTATCATTATAATTATTTGTTTATAATTTATATATATATAACTAATTTCTAAAAACGTAAATATTTGGTTAGATAAATAAGTGCCATGTAATTTAATTGTATTTGATTTCGTGTAAGCATTGTATCAAAAAAAAAAAACATAAAAAGTTTAAACAGACTTTACTTTATTTGTAAATATTTTGGCAACGAGTCATCTATTTCAGAGAAACAGAAATGTTTTTCATAAAATTGTGTTTTATTATTTTTATCGAGAAATGCTTTGAAAGCTTAATATTTGCAGCTGTAAGTATAATGCACGTCATATCCTCAAAATGATTATTCTTTTATATTAATAAATTATTTAATATTAATATACAGAGTGATTTACCAAGCATTTATAAATATATTTTAAGACCATATTTTAAATTCTTGATATTTAATTTTTTGTACTACTTAAGATGTATCCTGTGTGATAATACAAATTCCAGTTTTAAAATAACAACCTTATTTTTTATAGTAAATTATTTAACATATAATTTTTTTGAATATTTTTAAATATCAAAACGAATATCAACGATTAGTTTTTGAGTTATTTAATATTATCTAAACTCGTGATAGTGTACTTATAAGTATGGGGGCTATAAAAGTTTTAAAATTTCAGTTATTTATATAATCTTTTAAAATTTATAATTTAGAAAATTGGTTCAAGTATGATAAAATATATATCCAATACAATATATAGTTTTAATTTTTTATTTGTAAAGCTATTTTTAAAGGCTTTTATTCTAAATATAAATATTTTGATAATTGAAAAACTATTTATTCGAATTTTTAATTAAGAGCACAAAAATAAAACAAAAATTATCTAATAATAATTTACAATAAAAATGAGTATTCACATTTGAAAACAGAAGTTTTTATTTTCATAGGATACTCCTCAAGTACCTATACTTAATACAAAACCAAAACATTTCAAGAATTTGAAAATATGGTCTTTATGTAAACATTAAAAAATTTTAAAAATCAAAAATTGAATTAATTGTTTATTAAATGAAAAAAAAAAAATATGGTGATCATGTCTGGTGAGTAGCTCCGTATAAGAATAAATACTCTTACATGATTGTAATAATTTTTAGTACAATCCAATGCTAACTTATACAATACGATTTCATAAACTTTCATTTCACCACAACTGTTCTGGAAATTATACAATCGACAAATATAGAGAAAAGGAATTCGTTAACGGAAATATTGTACTTGAATCATCAGAAATAGTAGACAAGGTGGGTAACTTATATCATTAAATATTTAATAAAAAAATTGCTTACAATAAACACCTTCAGAATACCATAGTGTTTGCTTAATATATACAATTTTGAATTTATTATGTTTTATTATAAGGATCTATAAACTGTTATATACGTAATAAATATTGCTTATGATATATGTGTTTGACATATATACACTTTAAAGAATTTAATAATTATCTATAAATTACGATATAATTTTGCATACACGCGTGATAAAAATTTTAAGGTTGTTGTAGTATTTCTACGTTGTAATCCAGAAGGCGTGAACTGTGAATATTTCCAATCATGGTCATTAACCGATCTTTGTTCTAAATTAATAGACAAAAAACAAATATGGTCCAGTTGGTATGGAACATTTGATCCACAACCAATTTGTCCAATAAAAAAAGTAAGAAATATCATCTTCATATAATTATTATTGTATTTACTAATTTATCTAAACATGTTCATTTTTTTAAATTATTCCATATTTTTTTTAATATATTCATATGATAATAAATAATTTAAAATCTGAATATGACTAAATTATGTATTTAAAGTGATTATTTATATTAAATATGCGGTTTTAGTTATTGTTTCAGTTGGTAAAATAAATAATTATTATAATTTAACAAGATAAAAAAATAAAAAAATTACAGAAACCCGCGAATATTTTTAATTTTTTAAATATGTACCTTTCATTAAAAAAAAATAATCAATATTGTTGTAAAATATAATTTAAAAATCAGCAACTTGTTTTTACTTTTTATTTTTTATTTTTATTATTTAATTATGTTTGAATATTATCATTTAATCTCTATTTTATTAAATATTAAAAACGTCAGTATGAATGTTTCACAAAAATTGATCTTTTAGCAATTATAAACGTCGAAAATGTGTGCTACATTTTTGTTTTATACGCGTTTTAAATTAAATTATGAAGAAAATCATAAGTGCACAAAATATTTTGTAGTAAGAAATTCATGATTTTTTTTTTTTTTTTTACCAAACTAAAAAATTTAGTATGAGATCGTTTATAAATTGCTGTCATAAAATTCTAAAAATATATAAAATATGAGCATAAAGGCATGAAATATTTTGAAGTTAGTTCTTATGTTGACGAAATTAAAAATGATAGCAAACAAAAAGTAGCTTTTTTATTTAACAACTTCAAATATTATGTTATAACTAAAAAAAATACCTAAGGCACGTAAAACTTTTTCCATTATTATTTTCCATATATAAAATTAAATTTTAAATATATTTAGACTAGTTCCATAGTATTTATAATATGAGTTAATTCGAAATTATTTATTCTGTTTTAATATACGTCTATTATGACGTATAAATTAATAACAATAATTATACCTATACATCATCATACAGTATAATAACTATTTTGTAATCTATGAGATTTTGGCAATGTTAAGTTCAACCAGTTTAATTATATAATTATTAGTTTATTACTAATAACTTGTTATTAATAAGCAATAATAGTATAAATGAAGACTGATGGTGTGTAAAGTAATTCTTAAAACGGAGAAATTAGATCTACCAATTGGTTTATTAATATGAAATTAAAAAATAAGAATGACAGAATGATAAAAAGCGCATGTGTGTGTTACATATAAATCATAAATTTACTAAACAATATCCTTAAAAATAAATGCTGAAACAACTTAACAACGTATCTGTTCGGAATCTTTTTTCGTATATTATTATGTAATAATTAATTATTAAATTTAAATTTAACACATCTATAGCTTGATATTATTCAATGATGAGGTATATTTGAAGTCTCTAAACCTATTGAACAACAGTGCAACTTACACAGTTTATTTTAATTTCATTAAATTAGAAACAATTTCTGTGCATTCATATTATGCTTTATTGAAAACTGAAATATAATATAATATAAAACACCAAAATAAAAATCAAATGAATAAATATAGTTTCATGTATAGCATAAGTAATTTTTCTAAAATACCTATTGATTAAAATCATACGTTTTTATCTAGCATTCTAATGTAAATCATAATCAGTATATTCAAAATATAATATTATGCGATATATAAATATATTGTTTATTAGTGTTTGTATTTCAGTTTAATTGCATTAAATGTTTTAAATAAGTATTAATTAACTTTAAATATTTAGGTGAATTCTGCTATAAGAAATGGAACTATTGAAATAGGTCCAGCGATTCGATGGTATCCAGAGTGTATTAACTATCAATGGAAAGTAACACAAAAGTTTTATGCTGATGAACGTTACGTAGGTAGTTACACGTTTGAAGTATCAGTGTTTGGCTACAGGAAAAGAAACATAAAACAATCAAAACAATAAAATATAATTCATTTTACGCACAAAAATATTTTACAATTTATTTAACTATCAATAGATTATTATTATTATTTTTTTTTTTATATATAAATCACATTTACATCTAGATATTCACATTCTAAACATAAATTGTTTATTTTATAGTTTAATTATACTATATTTGTATAATTTTGCTTGGGATGACGGTGTTATTTTACTCATTATACATTTTAATAAATACATTTTAAACTTTTGACTGTACATTTTATTTGAATACAATTTATATTGGTTTATTATTAAAGTAAGGACTTTCTTGCATTCGCATATTTTTTCTGGTTTACTTTTTCGTATGCGGAGTAAGTACACAATACATTTCACAACGTTTATGACTGAAATCTCAAAGTTTTTAGTGCATATTTTTGTATATTTTGACATTTTTGGGTGTAAAGGACATATTTTTTGATTATAAAAGCATATTTTTAGTTTGTAGTGCATATTTTGAAGGTTTTTCGAAAATCATGTTTTTCAGTGAATATTTTTTATGATTAAGGACATAAATTATTATATTTAACTATTTCTATATTCTCATAAAGACAAAAAAGACTCATTTTATCATAGTTGCAAATCTATATATTAGATTACAATAAAGTGATATCAAATTTAGTTAAAACGTATAGAGAGATAATATAAAATTATAAAAATTAAATATTTTAAGAAAAAATATAATTTTTAGAGCTATAAATTTTAGTGTATTAATTTTTTTTGAGGGCATATTTAATTGCATATTTTAAACTTTTGGATGTATAAGTGCATATTTGATAATTTTTTAGTGCATGAAAGTCCTTGCTCTATTTATTATATTTTTACACATATATTGTACATATATAAATATATAATTAGGATAAATATTGTACATTGAGTTTAATACTCATATAAAAATCTATTTAATATTTTTCGTGTGAAATAATTTAAACGTATACCTATATATTGAAACATAAATTAAAATTTTAAAATTTTATTAAAAAATTAATACGGATGTTGAATATTTCAAAGCAACTATTTAAAACATTTATACATTACAAGAACTACTTAATTTAACGTGTAAATTATATACTAAAACTTTTAGGAATTTTGTTCTTAGTGCGAAAAAATTGAATGCTCGATGTAAATAATTCCAAAATATTAAAAAATTAACAATTATTAATACTATAATTTAAATCATAATTTTACTAAACAAACTTACATTTGTTTTATGTACGAATAGGAAGATAATATCATAAAAATATATTTAAAATAGGCTAAAAAAACTCGAAATTGCTATAGTAAAGCATATGATTGACTAAAATGTTCTTTCTAAAATACTAAAATGTTATGCAATCGTTTTTCATAGTCACACGTTATTCCGTTATATCAGATTGGTAACTATTTAAAACATACAGTATAACCTTTACAACTACCAACGATTTATTGTTTTGATAAATATTTGTTTTTTTTTTTTGAAAATTGTTTTTCACGGTCCTACGCCATTCCGTTTGAACAGATAATTAAAGTAACACACTATTTTAAAATTATTAATGTCATCAAGTAGTATTTCTATAACTATGATCAATTGCATTAATATATAGCACATCAAGAAATTATTGGCAATAATATTAAAAATGTCGTTTATTTTGGCTCTTAATGGAGCACTTTTCATTGGTATTATGTCTTTAAGTATTTATTAATATCTAGGTATAACGTATACTTAATCATTTTTAGAATACATCCGAAACTACTCGTAGTTTATACACAAAAATATAGCTCATAATCTTATTGCCATTTTATTGTTGAATACAAATTAATGTTAATTTAATAGTTTTAAATAAAAATTAAGAGAAATAATATATTTTCACAATAGATATTTATTAAAAAAGAAACGAAAAATAATGACATGATTAAAAATTGACCATCATTTTAACTAAATATTAAAAATTACTCATATATTACAATAGTAATTTTATTTTACTAAAAGTATTTAAATTACTTCAGTTATAAAATGTTGATAAATAATATGAATTAGCAGATATACAAATAAAAATTACTTCACTGGACCATAGTTTATTATTTTGCTTGTGTTTTATTGTGATTGATGGTTTAATCCATTGTTAACATACACTGTACGTTTTAAAAAATTTGATGTGAAACCCAACATCACTCTGATTAATTATTCAATCGATCAATACAAAAATGTTAAATTTCTAAATGGAGAATTTGCAATAAATACGAAAGAATAAATAAACAAAGTAAGTAAAAATAAAACCATTATTTAGATTAAACTACGTACATAAATTATGAATTTAATAAATCTTTTAACTTATATTATTAAGAATTAAGTCTTATTTATTCTTCTTTTTTTTTATTATTATTTTTATTAAGAAAAAGACAATCTATACACATAATCTGTACAATAAGTCATTATGATAACAATTAGAAATGATCATAACATGATTCACATTGTAGGGGAAGTCACCCACTGGTAATACCTCTCGCACAAAATTTAGGTTTTATTATATTTAATTATATTATATCTAAGTGTAGCAAGGATGTTTGTTTAGTTTTTTTTTTTTTTTTTTTTTAATTTCTTTTCAGTCTGCGTGGAGGTTGGTCGAGGATAAGATTTGAGGATATTTTTTTAATTAAGAGGTTAATGTTCGATGGCAGTTTTATGTAAAAGGATTTATAGTGGAGTTTTGAAAGTTTACTTACTGTTTCGATTTGTAAGTCGTTATGAATAGATTCATTCGTTACGTACCAGGGAGCATCAGTGATGATTCAAAGGGTTATATTTTGAAATGACTGGATGAGGTGGATGTTTGAAGGTTTGGCTGGCCCCCAAATTTGAATACTATAAGACCATAATGGTCTGATAACGGTTTTGTATAATAGTATTTTTAGTTTTGGTTATAGTTTGGATTTCAGGAGAGGCCGAAAAAGGTGGAGTCAGCTATTCGCTATTTTTCTTTTTTTTTTTTAGGTGAGGGCCCCAAGTTAGGCGTTTGTCGAATATAATGCCGAGATATTTGGTTTCATTACTGATAGAAATATTTACGTTATTTAATTTAATTAAGGGAAAAGTTGCCATGGCAAAGGGTAAAACTGACTTGAGTTGACTTGCTTTCATTTATTTTAATCAACCAGTTTTTACACCAGGCTTCAATTAGGCTAGTATGGTGTTGTAAATTGTGTGCAGCTGTAGAAATATCATCGCTTGTGGACAATTAGGCTGTGTCGTCGGCAAAGGTGGCTAAAAGTGTGTTGGGAGTTCGTGGAATATCGGCAGTATAAATATTATAAAGATCAGGCGCTAGATCGCTACCTTGGGGCACTCTTGCAGTGATGATGAATTGGGGCGAAAAGAAATTTCTTTATCTAACAGTGAAACTTTGATTTTCTAAAAAAGATTTGATAACTAAGAATAATTGAGCTGGCATGATTTTTTTCAATTTAAATAGTAGCCCGTCGTGCCAGACTTTATCAAAGGCCTGAGCAACATCCGAGAAGAGCCCAGCACAATATTGCCTTCTTTCTAAGGCAGAGGCAATTGTGTCAGTGAGTCGATGGACTTTGTGTATATTCGAATGTCCAGGCCGAAAACCAAACTGGGGGGGGGGGGGGGGGGGGGGGGTTGGGGGGCGGGGGGGGGGGGGGGGGGGTGGGGGGGGGGACCGCTTTTAGGGGGAGGGGGGGGGGGGGGGGTAGGTATGATTTGGTGCTCGTGTAGGATAGGTCGGATTCGAAGAAGTATCAATTTTTCGAACAATTTGCCAAGCGTTGGTAAGAGACTGATGGGTCTATATGATGAGACTAAGTTTTTTGGTTTCCCTGTTTTTGGTATAACGATTACGACCGCATGTTTACAGATGATGGGAAAATAGGAAAGCCTCAGCATTGAGTTGTAAATATGTGTTAATGAGAGGGTACATTTTTTTTGACAGGTTTTTTAAAACTTTATTTGTGATTAAGTCGTGCCCAAGTGCTTTACGTGCAGGTAAATATAAAATATTTAAAAGCAATACCAATAACATTGTGTTAATAATTAGGTAATTATAATTAAACAGTTCTATTTGAATTTTAAGGTAGTTGAAATATTTCGTTCTAAACATTTTAAGTAATATCAACAATTATTTAAAAGTAATAATAACAATATTGTATTGATAATATTTTAATTAAGTAACCTAACTTAGCTTATTTTAATTAAATTTTAAGGTAATTTCAATATTTTATCGTTGCGACCCAGATGGTATTAACTGCGAATACTTCAAAACATTAACATTAACAGATATTTGTAAGATATTAAAGGAAAAGAATCAAATATGGTCACGATGGTACGATTCATTTGATCCACCGGCACGTTGTCCATTAGATAAAGTAAGATAGTAATTAATAATTATAATTAAATAGTTATTTTACATTAAAATTAACAGAAATATTGTACTATAGTATTCACGAAGATAAAATTTGTATCTATACATTTTTGATATGTTTAGTGGAAATTATAAATACACAGTTTTAAATTGTTTATAACACATTATTTCAAGTAAATTCTACTTAGACAGAATATACAATATTAAAAATCCTAACACATGCACATAACATTTTAATATTATAATATACTAAAGTGTTCTAAATTATAAAGTTTAAATTATTTTTTTAAATATAGGTACATTATAAAATGAAAAATGCAACTGCTGATATTGGTACATTAATTATGTGATATCCTCAAGTAACTAATTACTAATGGAGACTTACTCAAAATATCTATGCTGATGATAGATTTGTTAGTTATAGATATGCATATTTGAAACATTTTTTTTTTTTTGGTTGAAAAAAAAAATCAACTTGATTTTTAAACCATATTTTATTTTTTTGTTTAAGACATTAAACTAAAATTAAATATATACAACTATTTAATTTTTATCTAATGCTGTTAAAATCTATTTCTTTATTTAAGTTCTCTTAAATAAACAAAAATAGTAATGAAATATTTAGACATGCATTAAATTATTTTGATTTTCAAATATTATATTTATCAATGTATTTAAATTAAAATTATATCAATCCGTTATTATATAATTTATTTTTTATTTATTTAAAAACTCGTTAAGTCAGCACCTCTATGTTGAATTCTAAATTCAATAATAAATTGTTGAATACAAAAAATGGTCTTGAACAATAAGGCTAAATATCTAAAAATTGTTATTAAATCATGTTTGTTGCAACAATATCGTTACACTTTAAAATATAACTTGTGAGATTATTTTGTTTGAAATTTTTAATATTAAATATGGAAATTATGTATAAAAAAAAAGAAAAAAAATAATAACAAGGGCTCTTCTACAGTGGTTGTGGGACTCGATCACTGTTGGAAGAGATTTATATTAATTTAAGTATAAACTTATTTTATGTATTCGAGTCTATACATTCGATTTCATCGCATTTGATTAATTCACAATTTACTTTATAGGTACCTACTTATATAAATAAGCGTTACAATAATTATAAGTTTATAAAAAAGAGCAAATGAGAAGTTTTAGGGGTGTACCTATGGTGACATTCGAAAATTATCGTAATTTCTAAATTTACAGAATTAAGGTTAAATTTTTCTCTTAATAAAAAAAATGTATGAACATTTTATATCTCTAATGAGATTTATGTTAAATGTTATTAAATAATTAAAATAATTCAAGTGAAGCAAGAAAAGGTTTTTAAGGGTTGAAAATTAATAAATCAAGTCTCTCCTTTCTTTATGTTTTACCTTTCAGTACAACCCTGTTAACGACAAGGTTTACTTAAAAGTTATTAGGTACTATTGTAAAAGGGTAAAACATTGCAACTTTCATGGTTTTTTAGATTCTGAACGGAGCGGTGAATGTATTGATTTTCCAATGATATAATGTTGTATTTAATTTATATATAAACAACTTAAAAATTTACAAGAAAAATGTTTTCGTTCTTTAATTTTTACAGTAGTTTCTGATAAAAAAATTTAATCTTATAGGTAAGTTTTAATGAAACCCGGTACTTTTATTCGCATATTGAGCGACTACGTCTGGTGCTTACGTCATATGCATAGTTTACAATAACTTGACAAGTTCCGACCGCTTATCACCGAAAACCACTATATTGGGCATTACCTATATCACATTGAATTTCATGCAGATAATCTTTATTATATTGGTACAAAATATTTCACGTACGCAACAAAAACAATTAAATATTATCAGTAAAATGATGTATAAAAGTTTGTCATTGTCACACGCCATTTCGTTAGATCAGATTGTTAATCATTCAAAAAAAAAAAAATATATATATATATATATATAATAATAAACTACACTAAAATAGTTAATACAATATAATATTTTATATAGATACCGTCATATAGTATAGACAGTATAAACTTTTACAACCACTAACGATTTATTGTATTAGTACAATAAATAAAACTGTTAGAAAATAATGGCAATAATATTAAAAATGTCCTTTAATTTGATTCTTATTGGAGCACTTGTCATCGATGTTATGTCTGTGAGTATTCATTAATACGTTTAACGTATACTTAATATTTTTTTTAATACATCCAATATTAAAAATCGTAATTGATACGCAAATACATAGTTCATAATTAGGGCCAGGAATTTGATGCATTTGCACCTTTTTTAATGAGTTAATATGAGGCTTTCTTTACAGAAATGTGACTTATGTTATTTAAAATTCAATAGAACCATTTTTATTTTGTATTTTTTGATAGATTTTGGTTAAACGGTAATTTTTTACTGATTTTGTTGCAATTTTTGCAATTTTTGTAATTACATTTACATTTTTTACATTTTTCTTTCATATTATTTTGACAAAATTAATATTTAAATAAACTATGGTATTGTACAGCTCAATCCTTCAATTATTTTTCTAAAACTATCATATTTATTTTTATAATTATTTTGTATTAATAACATAAGTTCTTATTTCCGTTTTAAATTTGATTTAGGACTCCGTTGTCTGCAAAAAACATATTTAATGTATAAAAATAAAAGCTTTCTTTATATTCAGATTAATAAAATAATAAATTAATGGTAACAAATATTAATTTAAAAACAATGATTTATTATTAAAGAACCTAAATTTTAAAAATTTTATAATTGTTTTAATTATTTTTTGATAATTATAAGTTATTTTAATATTTTTTTAACATTTTATGTCAAGAAGTTCCGGGCCCTATTTATAATATTAACTATTGCCATTTTATTGTTGAATATAAATTAACATTAAGTTAATAGTTTTAATTAAACATTTTGAGAAATAATAGATTTTCATAATAGATATTTACAAAAAAAAAAAAAAAAACGAATAAATATTGAAATAATTAAAATTGATCATTTTAACTAATTATTACAAATTACTCATCCATAACAACGGTAATTATATTTTATTAGTTATAAAGCTTTGAATAATAATTTGAATTAGTAGATATGTAAATAAAAATTACTCAATTGGTCCACAATTTGTTATTTTTCTTATCCTATATTTATATTTTATTGTGATTGTTAGTTCAATCCGCTGTTAACATACACTGTGCGTTTTAAAAAAATATCTGTAAAACCCAACATCACTATAAATAATTATTCGATCGATCAATACAAAGATATTCAATATTTAAATGGAGATGTTACATTAAATACGAAAGAACAAATCAACAAAGTAAGTAAAAATAAAATCATTATTTAGATTGAACTACGTATATATAGAATAAATCTGTTGTGTTACGTTATTATGAGTTAAATTTTATTCGTTTTAAATATAAATTATTAAAAGCAATACTAATAAAATAGTTTAAATATTATTTTAGTTAAGTAACTATAATGAAAAAAGTTTTATTTGATTTGTAAGGTAGTTGCAATATTAAATCGTTGTGACCCAGATGGTATTAACTGCGAATACTTCAAAACATTGACATTTACAGATGTCTGTAGACAATTAAAGGAAAAGAATCAAATATGGTCACGATTGTACGATTCATTTGATCCACCGGCACGTTGTCCATTAGATAAAGTAAGACAGTAATTATAATTAAATAGTTATTTTACATTAAAATTAACAGGAATATTGTACTATAGTATTCACAAAGATAAAATTTGTATCTATACATTTTTGATATGTTTAGTGGAAATTATAAATACACAGTTTTAAATTGTTTATAACACATTATTATTTCAAGTAAATTCTACTTAGGCAGAATGTACATAATAAAAAAACGTAAAACATGCACTTAATATTTTAATCAATTACTATTATAATATACTTAAGTTTTCTCAATTATAATGTTTAAATTATTTTTTTTAGGTATATTATAAAATTAAAAATGCAACTTTTGATGTTGATATATTAACTCTGTTGTATCCTCAAGTAAAGAATTACCAATGGAAAATTATCCAAAACGCATATGCTGATGATACATTTATTGGTAGCTACACTATTGAAATATATTTTTTTGGTTATAGGAAAAAAATCAACTCGATTTTTAATTAATCAATTTAACTGTAATTATATGTAATCATCTTTTAAATAACCAAAAATTGTCATAAAATATTTAGATACACATTAAATTCTTTTTATTTTAAAAAGTTATATTTTTTTTTATTACAATAAACTTTAAATGTCATCAATAATTTGTTATTACATAATTTATATTTTAATATTATTAAAAAGCTTGTTTATTTATTCTAATATTTTTCAGTAAGTTTAAACATTGTCTCATCTCGAATTTTCACTGCAGAAATAATATAATTTTTTGAACAGTTCAAACAAAATAAAAAAAAATAATCCATGATAAAAAAAAAAAACCACAAAGACCAATCTGTTTTAATTTTATAAATAACATTTGAGTAATTAACCACATACAATTATTTATTCAAGTATTTAGAAAAATACCGGTAGAAAATGATAAATTAAATAATTATAATAAAGGCGAAGAAACCAAAAATTTACAGTTTTTTTGGAATTTGTTAAATATTTAATCAGGACCTGGACTGAAGTTAATACTTAAGGATCTAAGTGATTCAAGTACCTCAATTAATTCAATGAAAATAAAGTGGAGTGAAGAGAGAAGAATTTTATTATACAAGATTTATATTAATTTAGATAAAATACCCACACTTTTGTGTGGCTCAGGTTTAAAATAATTATAATACTGTTTATAAAAATGTTTTGTATTTTTAATAATTGGTTTAAGAAACAATATACAACAGCTATCTTCTTGAATTTAACGTAATCCTCCGACATGGCATAGCACCAGTGGCGTATTTAAGTTTTTTTCATGGGAGGGGATATGATTTTATAAATGAAGATACAAATGAGAATATTGTACAATATATTATAATATTTTAATTCTTGCAAATTTAATCAATTATTGATAAAAAATAATAATAATAATAGGGTAAAGTCGCCAATATTGGACCGGCGCCTTAATTGGACCACCACAATTAATCAGCTGTCAAATATAACTAATAATTATAACATTCACACATTTGTTTAAAATCGTTTTAAAACGTCTTTAGAGTTATCACATATTGTTATTAATCATCATTATCAGTGTTTTATCACTTAATCCAATAACAGTCATTTTCATGCTATTTTTGTTTAATATTCCGTAACGCTTTTCAGTAAAATGGATAAGTAAACTAAATTAAATTTTTAAACAGTGTTATAAGCAATTTTGTATGGAAACTTATCGTTTAAAATAATTTACATTTATATTAATATTGAAATGTATTCATCAATTTTTCTAAAAAAAAACAAGTTGCTTAAGTTGAACCACCAATAGTTTCCAAAAATGGATCACTAAAATAGTTCATTTTTTAACCAAGAAGGTATAAAAATGTTATTTATTTTATAAAAGTATCTGTTAAAACTAGTCAGTAAGGTAGTGACTGATAAATTTTAAATTGTATTGTTTTATTATTCTAAAAATGTTGTTTACTTTTTAAATTTAACCAAGAAGGTATAAAAATGTTATTTATTTTATAAAAGTATGTGTTTTTATTAATAAATATGATATATGTATATTTTTACATATTTCAAAGGAGATAATTTAGTTAATTATTTATAATTTATTTATAATTAAAATGCATAATTAAATATTAGGAGTGTATATAAATAAGATATAGGTGGTCCAATTAAAGATATAGGTGGTCCAAATTAGGCGACCGGTTATCTATGTTTTTTTTAAAAAAAAAAAATGTTACAGTTAAAACATTAAAAAAAAAACTAACTATGCCAAACTGTTGTTTACATGTTTAGCTACCATCTTAGTGCAGTTAAATACTTATTATTTTAAATTGTTAACTATAATACTTCTAAATGTCCAAAGTGGTCCAACCTAGGCAACTCTCCCTTAATAATTTTTTAAATAATATGATGACTATAATTATTTGTATATATACAGCCTATGGGGGGAGGGATTTATTCCTTTGATCCCCCTCCCGTAAATACGCCACTGCATAGCACCATAGACTCGATAAACAATTCAATTCGCTAGCTTTTCCCGAATATCTATTAAAAATCATAATCTCTTTCATATCAGATCAAACTTTCAAAATCAGAATTGGAACCAACTTTTGTCAACTTCATAATATACATGCTAGAGTACCTTAAGGTTCAATTCTAAGTCCTACCTTATTCAACGTATACTGCCACGACATACTAATTACTTCAAATTCCCAACTGGTCATGTTTTCGGATGACACAACAGTAATAACCAAAGTAACTCCCTAGAATCTTCAAATTTGAATCTCCAAACAGATTTAAACACAGTGACCACCTGGTTCAAAATGTTGGAAACTAAACCTTAATCCGTCAAAAAGTACAGCATTTAAAATCATACAAAGATATCTTAAATATCTAATCCATTCAAATTGATAACCAACCAATACAATAGAACAATAAAGATGACTCTGACAAGTACCAAGGTGTGTTTTTAGATGAAAAACTGGCATAGGAAATTTATAAAAATAAAAATCTCATTCAAGGCTATGAAAAAATAAAAACACTTCATCCTTTAACTTTAAATCAACCCTTAAAATAAAATCGTCCATATACTTGTAATGATATGCTCACACATCATAATTTATTGTATATTTTATCATTTCGTTAAATAAAGTAACGGTCAAGTTGTCGCACGCAGATAGCCTTCAATAAAAACCTATAATCCCTATTGATCACTGACGAGAGAGACGATCTACATTGTTTGGCCACGTGGGAACCCAAACGCTATTGTGACCATATGGCACAAAGCGTTTGACCTATTTTCGTGTGCCGCCAAAGACAAGGGATGGTCCAATGAGGCTCTCTGTCATCGGGGACCCTGGCGGTCTTGATCACGTCGTCTTCTCTAGCCAGTGCATGAGCACCAGCCAAACCATCCAGTGCATGAGCACTAGCCAAACCATCGAGTGCATGAGCACCAGCCAAACTATCGAGTGCATGAGCACCGACAAAATTGCAGTGCAGGCGCATCATACAAACGAGCAGGAGCTCTTCCCAAGACCCATCACACACCCTACAACTCAAGACTGCGGGCGACAGCTGGACTTCTTTCTTTTTCTAAGATAAAATCAGTGTTGTTTTTCTTATTTAAATTTAAGTTTTCCTTAAGTCATATCGCAACTTGTATTATCTTATCTTATATCTTTCTCTGAGGATCGTACTACAGGTATACACCGCGGCGAACCAGGTAAGGTGCATGCCCTATATACTTATTGTCAGTACGAAATACTTTACTATTTAATTTACATACGGTGTATTTGATCATATTCTCGAAACACGATCTCGAGAACCCTCCGAAGAACAGGAGGAAGGTAATAACGCAAGAACAAGTACATTCAATATTATTAATACCGGACTTACATATAAGGCTTGTGTCCCTTGTGTCAGTCCGGCCACGTCATACTCATAACAAATACCCTTTTATAATAATTTTGAATATCTTACTTCTTTTTAATTTTAATTTCTCTTATTTTTGTGTTATTACATACTGTATACCTCAATAATCAGTCTATTAAACACTTATGCCTGCCCAATAGCTTCTTCCACAAAAATAAACCAAATCTAAATTCTTCAAAACAAATTTTCAAGAATTTATCTTAAAGCTCCAGGGTTTATGAGGAATAGGCAAATTTACAATAATACTGGCATCTTTTTTCTCCAAGACTGGATAAAATTACCGTTCAAAACCTTTCACGCAAATCTTAACACATCCGATGGCACTTGGTTCTGCAGCCTGGGAAACAAAACGAAAAATCGACGTTTAAAATCACGTATACCACAAGATCTTCTGTTAGAGTGTCAGACTTAAGTGAGGATGAAGATCAACCTAAAATTTACCACATAAAATACTTATTAACTAATATCAACATATATATATATATCATTATCACAATATCACAAACTAATTGTAATTTTTAATTAGAACACGTAAACAAATTTGTAATAGCATGTAATATGTTGAACATTTTTAAATTTAATTAAAAAATAAAAATTGATTGATTTAAAAAAGAATTGGTCGAATATCGATTAATTAATAATTTATGTAACATATTATATTAAAATTTCTGAAAATAACTAAATTGAAATAATAGTATTTATTACCAATTCAATTTATTGAAATAATATTATCAACACTATAACTATCGCATTTTAATTTAAAAAAGTAAATAAATATGAAAATAATTGCTGCAGTTTTTTTTTAAAAACCAAATAAACAGGAAATTGATACAATTTGACAACGTTAAACTATTATAACAAAATAATAACCATTTTCTTTTTTTATAATATGTACTATTTATTTTTTTTTTTTTCATGGCCGATTGATTTAAACAGATAATATGCGTTTAAAAACATATTATAATATTTTAATCAAGCTATTTTAAAATAATTTTTACCGTCATAAAGTATAAATATTAAATATTATTCATTTTTATAGCTACAAGCAATTGTATTACATAAATACATAGTTACATATATCAAAAAAAAAAAAAATAATGTCAACATTTTTAAAGATAGCATTTTATTTTATTCTAATTAGAACACTTGTTATAAATGGTTGGCCTATATAGAAATTTTTATTACATATTATTACGTATGACATCTTTATTGTTTAATTAAAATTAACTATAAGTTAATCATTTTAATTAAAAATTAAGAAAAACAATACATTTTTACAGAAGATATTTACTAAAAAAGAAACAAATAAATATTTACATAGTTATAAATTGATTATTTTACCTAACTATTACAAATTACTCGTATATTACAATGGTAATTTAAATTACTTCAATTATAAAGTTTTAAATAATAATATGAATTAGCATATTATATTTACTAATTACTTCTCTGGTCTATAATTTATTTTTTTGCTTACACTATATTTATGTTTTTTTGCGATTGTTAATTCATCCAATGTTAAATTTACGTTTTAAAAAATTTGATATAAAACCCTACATGATATT